CCCCTACTGCCCCTCCCGCTCTCTCATTCCCTCTCACGTCTCTCTCTCTCTCTCTCTCTCTCTCTCTCTCTCTCTCTCTCTCTCTCTCCATCTCTCTCTCTCTCTATCTCTCTCTCTCTCTCTCTCTATCTATCTATCTATCTATCTCCCGCTTGCTCTCTAGTCATTTCTAACCACTAAAACATATTCAGCCAGCATTTCCACAAAATTGGCTTTTTTAAAATGTAGGAATTGCTTCCAACGTTAGCAATGGAAGTAGATCCACCAATAATGGACGAGACTGGGAGGATTCAGACACAGGGTACTTGATTCGGGAGTTTGAGGTCGCTCCCCCTGAGGCGAGGGGATACAATATTCTGTGTAAATTGTGCCCTCTCGATTTGGGCTCGAGGATCCTGCGCCAGAATCTCTCCAAGCTCAATCGGACTCGAAAAGATTACTAGGGGCAAAGGATCAGGGAGTAGAATGCTGCAATTGTAAAGATCATAATCTGCCAACTTGCTATTTACAACCCGCTTACAAATACCCCCAACATACCTGCCACTATACTGTCTTCCCACTTAGCTCCTCTCTACACTTGTCTTGGCCCGATAGAATAGGCTGGAATCTCTATCCGCTATTACAGTTAATTGATAAACTAAGTATGCATGTAATACACTATTGGACACAATCATATGCACTTTTTTCTACTAATCAGATGGCTTCAATCTCATAGAAATGGGCAAGGGAAAATTTTTTATTTTTTTAAAATGAAGTTCCATTTGACATTTTTGGCCGTTTTGAGTTCCTAGACCTTATGCAGTTGCGAGGGCGGTAAAACCTCCACTAGAACAAGACCATAATGCCAGGAACCAAAATGTTCTGACAGCTTTATCAAAATCGTAAGATTATTCGGAGTCGTTATCGAGATATTCAAAGAAATTGCATTCGAAAAAGTGTGTTGTGAAACTCTTTTTTTTTAATGTAATTTTTTTTTCAAAACTAGGTTTTGAGCAGACAGAACTTTGAACTAGGGTATCAACTTTCAACAGTTTATGGTCATTTAAGATGCTGGACCTCCGAATTCAACGTCCTTCTCCGAAAGGAACAAACTAAAAAGGGTGGATTCAAGAGCCTTTAAAACCCCTCAAAACAGTGAAAGTTAAGAACATCCCGTTTGGGGTTCTCCTCCTCCTCCTCCTCCTTCTCTTTCTTCTTCTTCTTCTTCTTCTTCTTCTTCTTCTTCTTCTTCTTCTTCTTCTTCTTCTTCTTCTTCTTCTTCTTCTTCTTCTACTTCTTCTTCTTCTTCTTCTTCTTCTTCTTCTTCTTCTTCTTCTTCTTCTTCTTCTTCTTCTTCTTCTTCTTCTTCTTCTTCTTCTTCTTCTTCTTCTTCTTCTTCTTCTTCTTCTATTATCATTTAATAATAATGGTAATAATAATAATAATAATTATTATATTACTATAATGAGGATAATAATTACTATTACTATTACTATTATTATTATTATTATTTTTATTATTATTAATAATAATAATAATAATATTATTGTTATTTTTATTATTATTATTACCATGATGATGATGATTATAATGATGATGATGGTGATGATGATGATTACAATGGTGATGATGACGGTACCAGGAGAATGCACGTTACAAACGCGGAAAATTTCTTCCCATCGACAGGCCAACTTCTCCGGTATCTCGGTGACCCCACTCTATATTGACAAGGTCGTGCACAAGGCCGTGATCGAGGTCACAGAAAGCGGGACTACAGCATCTGCCGCTACGGCGGTTTACCTTGCCAGGTCAGTCCGAATTAATTGCATTGGTCTTGTGAACATGAATGCAACTAAACGGCCTATTTATTGTACAGGCCAACCGGACAGATTTCTGGGCCCTACGCCAATCGTAACGTGTAATAAGACATGCGCCTCAAACCGACCCGGCGAATAGCCGGCCCGCCGGATGTCAAGAACCCACGGCCGCTGCCTGTGAATTTGACGTCCGGCCATCCGGCCTTGAGGCCGAGGGGAGTGCCGACTATCTTTGAAGTTTGCTGCGCCAGGCAAGGCAGAACTAGTTTTAAAATTATAGAAAATCACGTCGTATATTAAAAAAACACAACAAAAAAAAACCACCAGATTCAGAATCAGTGTATCAAAATTAGGGAAATGGCTCGCGAGTGATTTGTTTCGTTTTGTGTTTAAGGATTTTCCATTCCTGCACATTTTTATGTTTTGTGCACCATGATGCACACACGTGTGTGAAGTTTCGCCAAAGATAGTAAATAACAAGATGGGCCACTCAGCCAAAAAAGTGTCCGCAGGAAGTGCGCTCTTTGCTTCAGATGGCGCTGCAGTCTGTTTTGAAGTTCTCTTTCGTTTTTCCAGAAGAAGAATAGGAATAGCACCTCCTTGCGTGCGCAGATCGACTGCTGTTCATCAGCAGTTCGGGTTCGTTCAGTGCGGAGTTTTAGTTTTTTAAAATTTTATTTTAATGACCTCTAGCCTTTCATTCTAAAGTCTAATTAAACGAAGAAAACAATCACCCTTTCCCCCGGAAGAGGTTTTTTGACAGCATAACCATTTAAAAAAAGCGTTCTTCCGAAATGCATTAAAAAACTTGCTAGTTTCACTTTGATTTTTTAAACTCAAGTAGGATAACTCTGTTCACAAAAGATGCGCTTTTGCGAAGAGGGCGCCACCGAATTTTGAGGACATTTTTTTAATTGGCTCAAAGAGAGAAGTGGCCCCTCTTGTTATGTAGACTCTTTGGTTTCACCCAGACTAGGCCTAGTGTGTAGAATATGTTGCTCGCGATGTGCGGCGCCTTCAGGACGATTGTTGCGTGTAATAATAAACCAAGTTTCCTCGATTTCGTCTGGCCGTACGGCTTGCCTACGGTCGAAAAACCTGTCCGTGTCGTAAAAATAAAATGTTGGAGCATGCTTTGTTTTGTTTATGAAGTTTGGGTGTATGTTTAGAACCCCCCACCCTAAAAAAACAACAACAACTAACATCCAAAAACAGCACATTAACATGTGATCATTGTTCCCCAAGAAAGACAGCAGGTTTAACGCAAAATCAGAACAATTGAGCGATCGGAATTCTTCACATATTTTTGCTGTTGCTAGGACATTCACCCTCTGATTTTCTGTTAAAATATATCCCCAGAAACTCGTTTCTGCGCCATACAACAGAGGTCAAGGTCAATCGGCCTTTCATGTTTCTGATCAAGGACAAGCTGATGAACGCTGTGCTCTTCATGGGGGCCTTCCTTGGTGAGGAGAGCCAGGGGTAGGGTGGACACGCTCTGCCTGGCCTAGCAGCTCAAAGGGACTGCATAACATCATCTTCCATCTTCCAGTACCAGCTCAGAGACAATACATACGTGCTTTTTCCTCACTCATTTCTGACGTTTCTGCGAAGATTTGGATCTAAGAAAGCGTGAATTTGTAAGTGAAGGTATCTGGTACAATAGCATTATAGTTAAATATCCTATGACAAAAGAAAAATAAATGAAAGTGTTGAAATAATAGGATATTTAACTTGATTCACAATCTGTATGCTGTTAAAGAACAGGCTGAATCGAAGCATCCTGCAACGATTGGTTTCTTCACGTTTGATACAAAATAATATGGTGACATAGTAACAATGAATGATCTTGCAAGCGATCAAATGGGGGGAAACGTGAGAGTTTGAATTCTGGAGATAAGCCATTTAGTCACAATAAAGCCTTTTAAATATAGCAAGTAGACATGCACTTGTAAAATATACACTTTCAGGTAGTTTCCTAGTTTTTCATTGAAATCGTACGAACAAAAGTCAATGAATTTCAAGAAAAGCATATAAAGTTTTAACAAATTTTGAAAATTGACTATTGTTACTAAATTATTTTTTTCTGTTTGATTAAAAACAACAGATATTGAATTCAAATGCTTGACTGTGTACTTTTGGTTTGATTAAAACTTTGGATTCGTTTTTCTTTTTCTTTTTTTTCAAACATTGGTGGCTTATAATAGGAACCCAACGCTAAATTTTCATATTGAATTTAAGTGAACAAAAATCAATCCACATATCATAACTTTCTCTTATGAGGATTTCGATACCGAATTAATGGCAATAGGATGGTATTTAAAGAAATTACGAATTTAGAAACATATTTTTTGTGAACAACGCGAAATATAAAAAAACACGATTTTCAGAGACAGCTCAGCTCCCACATAAACCAAATTTGCTTTACAAACTAAGCTTCTTCAGTCAAGAGTCAGTGGTACATAATGTAATAAGCTCAATTTTGTAACTAGACATCTGACAATTTAAAATGATCAAAATATGACCTTTAAAGATATGGCCCAGAAGCCATTTTCATACTTTTGCAAAAGGGAGGCGAAAACGGCAAACTGTAATCAAATTCATAATGTCAAAAAAATTGACCTACGATTTAGAAATGTTTTCTTGGGGAAGAGTTTTACGCGCTCGTAACTTCATACGCCACATGAGCGCACGGGACACAATAAACATTATTTTTCAGTTGGTAAGAAATTTAGAGTTTTGGCCGGATATCGGTCAAAGACTCCTATGATAATATAATAATGATGATAATAATGATAATAATAATAATAATAATAATAATAATAATAATAATAATAATAATAATAATAATAATAAAAGTAATAATAATAATAAAAGTAATATTACTACTACTACTACTACTACTACTACTACTACTACTACTACTACTACTACTACTACTACTACTACTACTACTACTACTACTACTACTACTACTACTAATAACAGAAACGTTTATACCGCGCATATTAATGCTCAATAGCGCTGCGCACTTTACAACAGCCAGTTCTTTGCGTGCAGCAGCCACAAACCTCACCACTACACCACTGACTGAGGTATATGTGAGGCATCGTGGTGAAATCATCAAGTGCTCGTCAAAATAATGAAATTGAAAATATCGGCATTTTCCCACTGGTTTGTCAATTTTATATTAATTTTCTTCTATTCAACGCTTTCTGTATCCATTAAAAAATACATTTTTGTTGTTGATTTAGCTGAAAAACGATTAAAGGCACAAACAAAATATAATGTTCAGTTTTCAAGGACTCTCAATAAGATATGGAAATCACTAAACTGAATCCAGCGGCAATTTCCCCCATTAACTTTACTTCTGAAACCAGGTGACCCTATCTCGTTCAATCGCAAATTTCTTTACTTCTGTATTTAAAATAGATGGATATTTTTTCATCGAACAATAAACAAATGAACAAGCTTTAAGATGATACCAATGACTCCACATGCCCAAATATTGATGAGTGCCTGATTCCACCGCGTGGTGAAACATTACAAATACCGTAGGAGACCTCTAGCTCAATGAGGACACAAATTCTGTTCATTCGACTACGCGTGAAAACGTAGTGGCACTTTTTTCTGATGTTGGTAAGTTTTTTTCGGCGCTCGCAACTGCATTAGGCCTAGGTCATATGAGCGCGCGGGACACATTAAACATTCTTCAATTGGTCGGCAATTTTGAATTTTCCACGGGTGGCGGCGAAGCCTATTCTTACCGATTTTGGACCTCCAAGGGGTTTTTAACGTGCGCAACTTGCATACGGGACCTCCGAGATATGTCACCCTTATCCGAGAAGACTAGATGTACATCTTACCTGGCATAAGATCAGGGATGTGGCTGAAAGACAGCAGTTAGAAGGAGCCAAAGAGAAGTAGTAGAAAGGCTGCAGAAAGAGTCAAGAGCCCAGAGGAAGGGGACAAAATAGCACGAGGGACAGGGAGACGTAAGCAGACGACAGAACTTTGTTAGAGAGCAGGTAAGGAAGTGAAAGGAGACAATTTTAGAGAAAAATTTTTTCCGTCACTATCCGGATTCGAACCTGAGACCTATTGAATGAGAGACGAACACCTTAAACTCTAAACGACAAGAGCCCCCTACTGGCACTTAAAAAACAACAACACAACTTTGTTCGTCATTCACTTGTTTCAATTCTGTAAATTTTAAATCTGATATTTGAAAAGGCAGGCAACAGAATGCATACTATAAATATACACAGTGCAAACTCGACTTTCTACATTGTAAATAGTGGTTCAAAATTTGCAACAAAGTTTTCTTTGGGCTCTTACTGATATCTTTAATGAGTTAAAGCATGACATGATTTAACTCTTTGTTGACCCAGTCTCTGGTCATTCCTCAACGCTTGAAGACGCCCTGTTTTGGGGCACTTAAAAAAGAAGGAAGTCGTGTAATTTTGTAATACGTATTGCTTCTCAGTTCTATTTTCTTTCTTTGCAATTCACAAAGGAAAGCATCCACATGCATGGTAGGCAAATCCGTGTCTCTGATGTGTGTTGTTCATTTAAAATGTCCCACAACGTTGCCTTTGATCGGCTGCAGATCGGACTTATAGTGCGGTCAAAAATTCGTGGCGCAACTCATTGTCAAATATTTCCTCAACTATCGAATAGAAACTCTCCAGCTTTTGCACAACGACTCGCATCAATTTTTCTAAACAGATCAATGTTTTTATACACCTGCTAGGCCTATTCTAGAAAATTCCGTAATAAATACTAATGAAAAATCCCAGTGGGCTGCTTCTACAGATTTTCAAAGGTTTAGAACTAGGACAATATCACTTTTAAAAGCAAATCTGTGAATTTTTTCAAATTGCGAGATTATGTTCATTGAGCGCATATTAAATTTTTTTTTAGTGCTACAAAGTGTTCACTATAAAATTAATTTCTTGTTACTAGATCTAGATCTAGTTTTGTCACTAAAAAGTGTCATTGGTGAGCTGTGACGTAGAATATGCGTATACAGAAGGTGTGTGAGAAGCGGGAAGTTTCATTTTCAGCCTGACGGAGATTTGTAGTATTTGACACTAAAATTATGAACAAAAGTATTAAAATCTAGACAATTGTTGTGGAAAAATATGATTAAGGTTAAAAAAAAATTGACACAAACTACTGTGCAAAGTATGAATGACTTTGATTCACCCGTTAAAAAGATATTTGAGGATAAGTTACGCCACAATTTTTTTAACCGCGCTTATAATAATAATAATATTACATGTTCTGTTCGTCCTAAAACAGGAAATAGCAGACAAGTGCAGAAGAGCAGTGCCACCGAGACAATGTACATTTTTTGATTTGGGTGGCGGTTTAAGCTCGTGCCACCACTTTGAAGCTTTACAAAGAGGGTCCTGGGGTTGCCGATGTCTACTTGCGAAATATTCCCAGACCCGTTGGTCAACGACGGTATCTGTGTCCGTTGGCAGTACTGGGATTTCGCTTCTTCAGGAAATTCGCAGGATGACGGTCCCTTGCCCTTCAAACAGTTGTCTGCCGTCTGGTCGGCCGGGGAGCGCAGTGAAGGGCAGTCCGTCTTCAGTTGAGATCCAAAGAGTTTGTATAGCGTGTTAGCCACGCAGTCGCAGGGGACTTTAGTTCCTTCTGCATTGACCTGTTTCGGTTAAAGTAAGAGGGATAAGCAGTCAAGGGATTGAAAAGAGTGTTGTTATTGTGTTTGTTGTGATTACAGGTTTTTACATCTCTATCAACACAGTTTTTGTCACAATATATTGTTATAGGAAGCGTGCACTGTCAGGGCCAACCTGGGGCGCGAGGGATATATTAGTTTTAGTTTTAGTAAAGAGTTTTACGGCACTTGCAACACAATAAGGTCATATAAGTGCCGAAGATTAGAGGTGTTACAAGAGAGGAACAAACACAAAATAGAAGGAGGAGAGATCAGGACGATAGACGTTTGATAGGAAAGAAGAAGCAAACCACACCAGAGCACCCGCCAACCACCCACGAGGGATATATTATGACCGCAGACAGACAGAGATACTTGATTAAATAAAAAATCTCCCACCACAATAATCGATCTCAAATCGTCTGCAAGCAATGGCGAAGTGCCTGAGTGCTACACAACAGACGCCGCTGATATGGTTATGGGAAGCAATAGGGACAAGTGTTTCCGACAGGGTAGAGGGTCGGGGGCGGCGGTTGGTGTACGGGAAGGGCAAGATTAATTTTTGGGCAGCAGATTTAAAAAAAAGAAATTTCTTTAGTTTGCTGTTTTCTCTGACTGAAGAGATACTTTCAGGAAAAATGATCGTAAAACAAAAAAGAAAATAAAAACATATGAAAATAAAGCTCAAAGTCCTGCAAGGCACAGTTTGAGTCAGCATAATAATATGGCTGGCTGTTTAATATCTTGATATGTCAACGAACTGAGAGGGAGCAAGTCATTAGGTCAGAGGAGAGACAAATTTAGACCCCCGCTCAGGTGCATCCTCAAACATTCCGTCCTTGGCTGAGAAAATCAACCAACTGTGCCGCAGCGTTTTGTGCCGCGCTTTGGGGAGTCTATCTTGTCCATTTTGTCTATTTTATATATAATTAATCGTGTCAGTTAAATAAAGGGTGTAAGTTGTATTTTGCTAAAACTAGAGTATTTAGTCGATGACAATGACACGCGTCAAGGGAGACCATACAATATGACGATGCCAAACTTAAGTTGTCAAAATTGAAGACGACCTAGAAAAAGAGAAAGATTGAGCCCATGACTATTTTTGCCGACAGGACAACATGAGAGGGTTTTTATGCCTGCCGCAAGAAAAACAAAATAAAACAAAACAAACAAAGAAGAAGAAGAAGAAGAAGAAGAAGAAGAAGAAGAAGAAGAAGAAGAAGAAGAAGAAGGAGAAGAAGGAGAAGAAGAAAAAGAAGAAGAAGAAGAAGAAGAAGAAGAAGAAGAAGAAGAAGAAGAAGAAGAAGAAGAAGAAGAAGAAGAAGAAGAAGAAGAAGAAGAAGAAGAAGAAGAAGAAGAAGAAGAAGAAGAAGAAGAAGAAGAAGAAGAAGAAGAAGAAGAAGAAGAAGAAGAAGAAGAAGAAGAAGAAGAAGAAGAAGAAGAAGAAGAAGAAGAAGAAGAAGAAGAAGAAGAAGAAGAAGAAGAAGAAGAAGAAGAACAACAACAACAACAACAACAACAACAACAAAACAGCAAAATACAACAAAACAGAAAAAAATACCTGCAAAATTAGTTGCTCTCCAGAAGAAATGTTGGCCACACGAAAGAGGAAATGCAGGCTTTCCACGCCAGAGTCTTTGATGTTGATTCTTCGTAAAGGCAGATCCACCAGGGTGTCCGCGTAGATGCAGGAGAGTAAAGGGTTACTCTCTAAGACCAAATCCTTCAGTCGATGAAGCGTTGACATGCTGGGGGGCTCTATGTATTTGAGATTTAGTCCTGAAAAGGGAAAATGGATGGGCAATAGAGTTGAAGGCGGAGCTTGTTTGTTTGAGTAAAGATAAGCACATCGACACAGTGATGGTCATTGAATGCTTGGGAAAAATAAGACAGACAGACAGAAACAACAGTGGCGCCCTCCAAACATTTGAGAATGGAAAGGGACTGTGCAATTTTGTTTTTTAGATAAAGAGAAGCGCACATTACTGACAGGCTAAGTTAAGGTGTATACGTTATAATACAGCGAACTAAGCACACAAATAAGCAATCAAACATATAAACGCTTTAACTCCCCCCCCCCCAACCGCCCCTAAAATCAACAACGAACAACGGCCTATAGCTTCATCCAACTTGAAAGTGGTTCCCAACCACTCCCCTACAGACCTGTATTGAAACCGGACAGTGTCGACGTTCCCAAAGATAGGTTGCCAAATTCAAAATAAAACTGAACCCTTGACTATTTTTGCCGAACCCAGAATAAAACAGCAAAAGACACAAAGTAGTACTTGCACTATCAGTTATCTTCTGTTTGAAAAAGTCAGCGCTATTACTAAAAAGAATAATCCAGATGTTGAAAATTTGGACTTGGGCCAGTGCTTGTCAACATTTTAATATCCGGCACCCACGTTTGCCACCTTAAATTAGAATAAAAACAACGTTTGACCCCCCCCCCCCCCCAAAAAAAAAAACCCCAACCCACAACAACAACAACAACAACAAACAACAACAACAAAAAACAACAACAAAAAACCAAAAACAAACAACAAAACCTTCCATATATTCCCAAGCGAGGTATTAAATACCATCTGTCACTACCCACCAGGGTGATTCCCACCGTCTACCAAAAATAATGCCTACTAGATCTAGTAAGCGCATCGCCCAGGTTGCTGCTTGGACTTAAAATGATAATGAGCTTTAGCCATAGGATAAATTCAGCAACACTGAAAAAGGGTGTTAAACATGTACTGAATGTATCAAACAGAGGAACAACTAACTAAGACACATCCTTCTTCTCCGGCGGTCTAAGGTCTAAGGGAACAAACTGACCTATGAGGTACAAGGTCTCCAGAGCAGTGGGCAGGTCTCCGGCACAGATGGTAGAGATAGGATTGTAGTAAATGAACAGAGCACGGAGGTTGGAGAACGAGCTCACAACTTTTGGCACACGCTGTGAGCAGAAAGCTGCCGATTATTGGTTGGTTGGTTGATTTCATGATTGGTTGGTTGGTTGGTTGGTTGGTTGACTTGTTGTTGTTGTTGCTGTTGTTGCAGTTGTTATTCTTGTAGTTACTGTTGTCTTCGTTGTTGTTGTTGTTGTTGTTGTTGCTGTTGTTGTTGTTGTTGTTGTTACTGCTGCAGCTTTTGCTGTTGTTTTTGTTGTTTGTGTTTATGCTGCTGCTGTTGATGTTATTCTTGTTGATGCTGTTGTTTTTGCTGTTGCGGTTTTTTTGTTACTGTTGTCTCTGTTGTTGTTATTGTTGTTGTTGTCTTGTTGTTGTCGTTGTTGTTGTTGTCGTTGTTGTTGTTGTCGTTGTTGTATTGTCTCCTTTTCTTAGTCATCAGCAACAAATCTGCAACGAAAAGTCATGTAGAAGGCAACAATGAGTTTCACCAGGACTTTTGAACCTAGATGTTTCAGGAGGGTTGGAGAGATGTTGGGGGCTGGATGGCCCACAGGTTTTCATTTGGGAGAACTCCTACTCCTAACCCCCATCCCCTAAGGCATAACCTCTAACATTAACCTCTAAACCCTAACCCTAACCATAAATTTAATCCTGACCCTAATTGTTTTTCATTGGCACAAATACACACAAATATCAACAGTATTCAAGTGCATCGATGATGTTGGAATTTGGAGCTCTAGTAAGTCGTAGGTTGAACATTTGAAAGACGGATTACTTCGTTTCACGTCAGACAAGGGGATCTTCTACTTTTTCTTTTCAACCTCCTGTTAGATCTTAGGGGGAGTCGACTGATGTGCTGTGAAATATATTTTATTTAACGTTTAGGTATAATTTGTTCCATCACGCAAGTCATGGGCTCGCCGCCGTTAGTTCAGCTTCACCTTCACATATCCCGTAGACAGGGTGTCTGTCGGGGCGCTTTTGAAGATTTGGCTACCAGCTTCCTCTACTCCTTCCGGTGTTCAGCTGTCCTGAGCGTGTCTTTGAGGTCCAAATCTGACTGTTATCTTCATTGGTGTTTCTTGAGCAATGTCACATGGCGGAGCCCATCCCTCTCCATACCAGACCACAGTCGAAATCCTCCCACCCGATGGCTCGACTTGGTCTCGAACACGAAGACGTTAGGTTCACCTGGGAACTTTTTCCGCTATGGCCGTTGTTCACCTAGTTCAGCTAGTGTCATTTATTATTATGTCCATGATCTGTCTGACCATAATTTGGTTTCATAAAGGGACATTTCTGAACCTAAATCAAAATTTTCCACCCACTAGGCCAAGTACTCTTCGATGTATACTTAATTTCTATCTACTATATAATCCCGCAACGTTGAAAAGGGTGCTCGGCATGTACTATACGTGCACCGGACGAAGGAATATCCCCTTCCCCTTCAACCAGTAACGTTTGTGGTGAGTTGTTACAAGTTGTAGTTTTCTTTAAATCAAAATAGCGGGGTGGTGTCCAATTTGCTTCATAAAAAGAAACGATACTAGGAAAACGGACACTAATTAGAAATGTGTGTGTGTGTGTGTGTGTGTGTGTGTGTGTGTGTGTGTGTGTGTGTCTGTGTGTGTGTGTGTGTGTGTGTATGAGGGGGGGGGGCATGCCACACCATAACACCTACAGTCTGGCTTTATCATGGGTACCGAGCCTGTTTTGAATTTTCGACCGAGGAGGTTGAGATTGGTTGTATTATTGATTTTTAAAGAAATACTGTTTTGCACTTCCATCATTACAATTTACGTTAAGGGTAAGAGGCTTTGACTTCGATCCTGTCTGTCAGCGTCAATTTGGATAGGATCCAACATCCCAGGAGACAGGCAAAATTATGTTGGATAACCAAACCTAAACGTTTGGGAATCAAATTAACCTCTACGTTGTGCGGTAGGGAAAAGACTAACCATCACCCCAGAAGACCTCAAAAGGATTGTGAACGTTTACAAAGCAGGCAAAGGAAGATAACTGTACGTTCTTAGACATGTTCTATTTTTCTCATCACGTCCCCTTGAGAATATCACGGGACATTTTTGTTCGAAATTTTTACCTCCACTCTGTGTTCTTGGTTCTTTGGTGTTAATCTTGAAAGATGGATATAATAATAAAGAAAAAAAAGCCCCCCAAAACTTTCTCCTTAAAGAAATCGAACTCGTTTCTAAACCATCACGGCAAAGACAAGCTCAAACTTGTGTTATAACTAAAACCTGTCTTTTAATATAGGGCATACTATTTTTCTCTTGTATCTCGGCAGAGTAGATCTCAGAATAATTCATCAAATCATTAAAATGTCAGTGGCATCATATTGGTCTGACCCGCCCTAGAGCACAAGAACGTTGTTCAAGAGGCAGGGACCTACGAATTTATTTACCCATTCAGATAGGCCCGAGCCGAAGTAGGTGGAGATCTTTGAATATTCCCAATAAAACGAAGTGTAACAGTGACACCTCGTAAAAGAATTGTAACTCGATCGTCTGTACAATAGCCCAGCGCAATGCCAGCTTCGCTAACCGCAGGCTAATTACGTGTCTGTAACCAGGTCTGTTTTGAGAGGAATTCTTACGATTCTTATTTATCTTCACAAGTGTAGGCCTAGAAACACTGGAGATAAATTGATGCGGCATTTGCGCAGTTTTCAGGAAGTAATTGGTGAAACAGTAGTTTCGTTTTGACCGCTCGGACTTTTCCTTTCCTCACGACTATCAATAAAGAAATGCTAACACTGCTTTTCAGATACAACGCAAGATCCTGCAGCGCCCACTCCCATTCAATACAACTAAAAGCACTTTACAATACCTTTATCTTATGTTTAAGTACACGTTTTACATCATTAGGTACACAATTAGGTCAAATAAATGTCGAGGATTAGAGTTTTTAAAAATAGTTTTAGTAGAGGCTTTACGGCACTCGCAACGACATAAGGTCATATGAGCGCCAGAAGTTTAGAGGCGTTACAAAAGAGAATCAAACACATAAAAGAATGAGAAGAGATAAGGATGACAGATGTTTGATAGGAAAGTAGGAGCATACCACACAAGAGCACCCACCAACTACCCACTTACCTAACATCTTTTCACAAAAACCACGTGCATGAAAGTGAATGCATACTTTACGCTTTTTTAATTAATAACCCCTGCTAGGCCCAGAGAATTGGGGGATGCGGCAAATCTTCGAGTAAAAGTGCATTCCTGCGTTTCATCAATCTCACTTTTTAGAAATAAAATAATTCGTTGTAGGCTACTTTTTAGCTTGATTTTTGGTTTTTGGTATCGTCGTTGTACCATCTCCACCTTACTTTACTTTACTTTTTACTTTTTTCGTCCGCTTGTACCCTGGGGTGTCGCGGGGAGACACAGGTGTCTGTCTGCTGCAAGTCGTGTGGCCTGTAGGAGGGACATCCCACGATCTGTAAGGGTGTCTGCCATAGATTCACCGACAGCCCAATAACCGTCAACACCCTTAACCCCCACAATGAAAGAGACAGTATACTGTTCTCGCACAGACGACCTATGTGTTTACAAAACTTTGCCCTCGCTCAGCCACTCGAACTTGCTTGGTTTGGTCAAATAAACCTAATTACCTACCTTTAGTTATTTTGAAAAAGGCATCTAAATAATATGCAAAAGTAAGGCCAAACATAAATATTAGACCAGATGCTTACACAATATAGTGCAGATTAGCAGATTGTCTTCTTTTAACATATGCTAGGGTTACGTCGAAAAAAGTAGTCAACTGGAATTAACCTGTCTTGATAACGAATGGCGTATACGGGGAGGGGTGGTTGGTTTTTGGAAAGGGGATTGGGGAAAGGGATAAGGGGTAGGGAAAGAGAGGAGGGTTAGGGGGATGGGATGGGGGGAAGGGCAGGAGTTGGGATGGGGTGGTTGGGGGAGTGGAGATGGGTCGTTGATTTTTTTTTTGGGGGGGGGGGTGTAGATGGTATATATTGGTATAATACAAAGTCCACTTATTCGTATAGTCCAACTGGAGAGATCGAATCGGGGCCTTGCAACAACAGGGTTAAATATGGTGACTCAAAGAACACAGAGAGGAGACGTGGCAGTGATAACACATAAGTAGACGTTCATACTATCACAGCAGCATAATCGATGACGATAACGCACACCACAATATGAACCTTAGAATGCCATGAATAAAAAGGACTGACAATCAAGATGGCATTTCATAAGATATACTTTTAAATTAATTTTAAACTTTATCTACAACTTTGTATCCCTCAAAAATTTTGGGAGAGAATTCTACGTAGATGAAGCTATATGAGAAAATAGACCTCTCAATATGACCGACGTGACCCGAATGAAGTACAGGAATTGAGGAAAAAAACTCTCAAGCATGATACTATAGCAAGTTTTGTGGAAGTAAGTTATGATCCAGCAGGACTCGCAAATATGTATAGGGCACTGGACAAGGAGGGAGAAGGAAAGGGGGAGACAACATACTGGAATTTGCAGGTTTAAAGTTGGGTGAAGCCCCTCGAAAAGCCGAATATAGAGAAGGGTGGATAAAAGTGTTGTTCAATCATCATTGATGCCCTAACGGCCGTCTAGACTAAGGGAAAAGAAAACAAGTAAGTAAGTAAAGATCGACCATTTCTTCATTTCACCTTAAGGAAAGTTTTAAATATATAAAAAAAAATAACATCATAGACGGGTCTCACGTTTCAATCAACGACCATAAAGGTTAGGGAACTTAAAAAAAAAAAAAAAGACAAACTCATGATTCTACCTTAAGGGAGTTCTCGCTCATAAACAGACTGGTCAGGTTCGTAAGGTTGTCGATTGCCAGCGGTGTGAAGAACCTTGGACCGCATCGAATGACGTCAAGACGGGAAACACCTCCGGACATGTTGATTTTCAGCAACGGTACCTGAAACCGAAAAAAACCACAAAAAATCAGGCACCGTCGATAAAGTCGATCCAACGCTCGTCGAAATAATAAAATCGAAGAAACCGGAATTTTTATTTCCGTATGAACATTTTTATCTAGATCTAATCTAGTCTATTATCTAGATCTATTTGTGGTTGCCGAATTTTGCTATTCAAAAGGCTTTTTAATGGCTGCATCGATCGACTTACGGTTTTCGCCAAAATATTCTTTAAAATATTCTCCAGATCATGGCACCCCTCGTTTTTTTTCTTCAGTTTTGAGACAGTTTTGCTGCAAAAAGCTAAACTTCTTTTTTTCGCCGATCGCTTTTGTAGGCCGACGCTTCTGTCTCTGTGATTTTAGAAAGTTCGCTAGGTTTGTTTATTTCAAGTCGTACTTCCGTTCGATACTGTCGCGCATTGTTGCGCAATACTGAGCACTATTTTAAGTGTGCGACACATATAGATCTAGCCTTATGTTTTATTTTTCTACTTAGGGCTAAATTCGACTGCGATCCTTTCGTTTGATGCCCATCTTCTCTTTTTCTGGACTCTTTTGTCAAATTCTTTTTCTTGCTACTGGGAACAACGTCAACAGATCTTAGATAAGAATCTAGATATAGACCTAGATAGTGCCTGATGCTGAAAAGAAAAATAAGTTCTGCAGTTGGAACCCCTCGAGCTGGCAAAGGTCGAGGTGGTCTAGATCAACAACAAAATGATGGGGGGACTCTCTAGATCTAAATCTCCCAAAAGCATTCCTCTGCATTGTCAATTCCTTTCAGTACGAGTGCTACATTGGGGAACTGACGACACAGTGAACACACTGCCTGGCCATAAGATTCCATATGAAACACAAGGTATGTTCTGTAGCAATGGCAAAGTCGATCTGCATCTATTTCCAAAACCACGTCCTGAACTGCAAATCCTTCTGTCTGGTGAGTCGACACTGTCCACTCACATTCTGGAGAAAATCAGGCTGTACAACAAATTATTGCTTTCAGCTCACATCCATGGGCTATACCGATACAACCATCAATGGATGGAATCCACAGTTTCGAGTGCAGGGTCAAATATATCATCACATTGGCTCTCGCCTTCCTGCCCCCCAAAATGATCATTCATTTCTGTAAGTTTATTTCATGGAAAGTGATGCAGCCTCAGAGCGCAGAAACAGTCTTCTCCAAGTACTTGAACCTGGGATCATTTCTGATCTTCAAGCCATGTTTCATTGCCATAATTCGTATGTAATAATCTGAAATGTTCATATGAATTTGCACGCTCACATTTCGAATAGTCTGTAGAAGTGTCATGCAAAGTTTCGTGGGCCTAAGTTAATTTGCCAATGAGCCAGAATTTTTTTTAACGTTGTCAGAGGAAAGCGAACAAGCTATAGACACTGCCTCTGTGATTTTGAAGACGTCGTTGTGTTCCATTTTCAGTGTAGCTGCCCTTTCGTGGATTATTATTTTCTTAGTGCTTTTTGTGATAGTGTAAGGCGAAATCCGTATTTTGTGATTGTGAAGGGCTAGACAACAATACACTAAAGCAATGTAAATCAAGAAAGGAGTTAATCAAGGCAGACTTAAACTAAAGCAAAAAGATCTAGAATCCAGGTATGATTGTGAAATGCTAGACAGCAAGGTACATGTAGATGTAAAATGCCTCTGCGGCGTAGACCAGGAGCAGTGACGCCAAGGCGTCGACCCCGAGCAAAGCCGGGTGCTCAGTTAGTTTCTATTTATTGGCTCACGTCTTTTTATGTCCATTTAAAAATATATTTCGGTGTGGAGTTTCCCGCAAAAATTTCACTAAATGCAACTAAAACTGTACATTTTCAGTTCCCAAAGACTGTCAAACTGTGAAAGTAACCAAACTTTGGTGGCCATTTTCACATTAATTATTCCTCTCAAACCAGGTGACCCCAACCTCCTTCCATCACAAGTATCTCGACTTCTATTCAAGTTAGATTTTTTCTTATCGACAAATAGGCAAATAAATAAGCTTGAAGGTAATACCAATAACTCCACATGCCTCAATCCACCGCGTTTTGGGACAAATGACCATAGGGGTGCAGGGTTCTTTTCTAAAGCGCGTCTCCAAGAGTTGTCGTACAACCAGAAAGTGCGTTCTTATTGATCTATGAGTAAAAGTCAAGAATAGCTGCCTGCCCCAACCCATTTTGGAATGTCAGATCTTGAGCGCAACATTATTGTGTCTGTGTATGAGCTTCTCATTACTGAAACAAAACAAAAACAAAACACCCGCCCCCCCCCCTCCTAAAGTATTTAGATTTTATGAAGTGAGCGTTGCGCTACAGCAGTATTACAAAGTTATTTCTGACATTTTTGCCCGTTTTGAGTTACTAAGACTATCAGGTCGCCTCCTAACTAATGTAAATAATGTCGATGGCGGCATAATAGTTTTTCCGTTACGTGAACGAAGCCACAGCAGTTTTTAAGAGGGTTACAATATTCAAGGTGCACCGAACTTCTGCGTCTTGTACTAATAATCTTTTACCTTCAGCATACTCTTCTTAGAAGTTGTTTCCACACACATCAACCTGATGGCATGAGCGCCGTTCAGCCGGGTCAAGGATTGGGACCAATCTTCCAGAGTCTGGCAGTTGATGACCAACGTATCCCGTGCTGTTGTGACGTCACATTTGTTCAACGTCTTGCACCCGGGGCACAGATATGAACCAGGTGCAGATTCACACACGAGTTGCAGGAGGAGGAGAAAACGACAGACGTGGAAGAGGCCGACTGTTCGTGGCAGGGTCATACTTTCAGGGCCTTTTCCAAGCGTTTTGGGGTATCCGAAGATGGGCTCTTTTCATTTTTGGGCTGTGCCAGTGGTACATGTGTGCTAAGATAGGACAAAAATAGAGGGAAAAAACTTTGCCTGAAAAAATTCGTTCAGTAATTGATAGAAACGGTTGTAGCAATAACAATGATACTGATAATAATAATGATAATAATAATGTTGAAAATACGATTTATAATAATAATAATAATAATAATAATAATAATAATAATAATAATGATAACAACAACAACAACAATAATAATGATAATAATAATAATAATAATAATAATAATAATAATAATATACATAGTGATAATAATAATAATAATAATAATAATAATAATAATAATAATAATAATGATACTACTACTACTACTACTAATAATACTAATAATACTACTAATAATAAGATGATAATGATAATAATAATGATGATGATGATGATCATGATAATAATAATAATTATGATGATGATGATAATGATAATAATAATAATAATAATAATAATAATAATAATAATAATAATAATAATATAATAATAATAATAATAATAATAATAAACCATCTCATTCAAAAGCGTTTATCCTCACTCAAAAGTAGGCCCAGTAGGCTTTGTAATATTCTATTATTCCGATTGAGTCCATAACATCTCAAGATATTATTACCAGCTTTCTGGGAGAAGAATAAATGAAATATAAGCCACGTTTTTAATAGCTTGAAAACAGTTTTACACAGTTCGGTCCCCTGCCCACAGCGGTTTATTTGAAAGAAGGCCCATTCTAAAATTATATCCTTGCGATGCGCAAACTAAATTTTTACCGTTTTAGTTTTAGTTATCCCGTGGAATAGATTGGGTGGAATTATGATTAACAGGTAAGTTACATAGCAGAGCTATTGGTCTTATAACGGGGACTTCAGTTCTGAACTTTTTGGGAGAAATTATATAAAATCGTGCACTGGTGAGTAGCTTAATTAATGACCTCATTCGCAACAGAACACTGTAATGGAACATAAAACAACCTCTATTAAAGAAGTGAAAAAGGCAAAGAGGTGCTTGAAGGAAGGATATTGGGCAGAATGGCCACAGGAAGACAAATAGTAAGTTGTATGGACAAAGTACAAACATAGGCTGGCCTGAATGTGACAGAATGTACAAAGGCAGCTCGCAACCGTGAAGGAGGGAGGGTCGTTACACGTCAACCTCTGCGCCAGAGAAGACACCTCCAGGTACCCATCAAAGTCAAAGTTATAATATGGTTCAAATATTGAATTATTTACACTAGCATGGCGGATTGTAAAATTTTTAATCTGTGAGAAATTTGAAATTTTCATGAGACATAACTACATAGCGTGTGTGCAAAATTTCCAGTTTACTCTCCACAACTATCAAACTCAACAACATGCTCAGCACTTAATCAAACGAGATTGGCTTTGCTTTAAAAAGGACATATAAAAAAAAAGTACTATGCAGTTACTCTATTACTTGAGCTCTAGGAAGGTCGCTCGTTACGGAAGTCCTAACCTATGGGATTTAATCGTTTTCTACTATGGTCATTCTATTTTTAGGTCTCGTGCTGCTATTGAGATCATTGGCAAGACGGAGACTGTCGGAAGTGCCTTTTGAAAGTTGAAAATACTCTTCCCACTTATGGCGATTTTTCAACCTACCTTTACAAAAGATAATCTCTGATTTAAAGAGAAGCACATCCACTTAACAACAGACATTTTGTACTGGAAAAAGGCTGAACAGATAAACAAGAAAACGACTGTGGGATGGCTAAGAAGAATGATCGGAAATCGTTCATATTCCATGTTTTCAATAAAACTCGGAGGTGAAAATGATTGGAAATAGTGATGATGTCATAGGATTTTGTGGAGAATACACAAAAGTACCTACGTAGAAAGATTTCTCATGGGAACAAAGAGTTTATAGTGCCGTCAAAAAATTTGAGGTGCGACTTATTTTCAAATATCTTCTCAACAATTGAATACACGTTCTCCAACTTTTGCGCTGTGACTTGCATCAATTTGTCTTAACACCTACAAGCTGTATTCTATAGGCCTAGTACTGTGCGGTCAAAAATTCATGGCGCAACTTATCCTCAAATATCTCTTTAACAGGTGAATCCTTGTCATCCATACTTCGCACAGCAGTTTGCATCAATTTGTCTCAGCTTGATCATATATTTCCACCACAATTGAGGCTGGATTAAAAAACTTTTCTTCTTAAATTTATATAAAATTCCTTAAATCTCCCTCTCGCGGAAAATGGGATTGTTCACAGCACTTCCCGCTCCTCACACACATTTTGTATACGCATATGGCCTACGTCACAGCTCACCAATAACACCTTTTTTAGTAGCAAAACTTGTTAGAAGAAATTAATATTATTGAGAACAAATATTTGCACTTACTGCTCTCAAATCCTGCGTTCAATAAAGATAGTGTCACGATAAGAAAAAAAAAATGACAGACTTGCTTTTAATAGCGATGGTGCCGCAGCTGTAAACCTTAAACAATCTGTAGAGACTACTCACTTGGATTTTTAAAAAAGTATTTATAAAGGAAATTTCTGGAATACAGCTAACAGGTGTTTACAAAAATGTTGATCTGTTAAGACAAATTGATACATGTCATTGTGCAAAAAAATGGAGAATATGTTTTCAACAGTTTAGGAGATATTTGACAAAAAGTTGGGTCACGAATTTTTGACCGCGCTATAGTAAGGGTTTTACCGCACTGGCAAGACATTAAGGTTATAATAATCAAAGTGTCGAAGATTAGAGTGGTATTACAAAAGAGGTATACACACAAAAAAAAGAAGGAGGAGAGATAGAGATTATAGGTGTTTAACAGGAAAGAAGGAGGAGAGATAGAGATTATAGGTGTTTAACAGGAAAGAAGGAGGAGAGATAGAGATTATAGATGTTTAACAGGAAAGAAGGAGGAGAGATAGAGATTATAGATGTTTAACAGGAAAGAAGGAGGAGAGATAGAGATTATAGATGTTTAA